ACTCCGTAACTATCAAACAGAAAAAAGTTGATTTAAATGATTATTTTATCCAGAACAGTGCTCATGGCATTCAAAATCCTTGAGTATGCAGTTCAGTTTTGGTCACCAGGCCTCAGGAAAGATGTCCTCAAACTGGAGAGAATTCAGAGAAGGGCTACAAAATTACTAAAGGAGAAGAAAGGCCTGAGTTATGAACATTGCCTCTAGAAATGAAACTTGTTCTCCTTGGAAAAGAGGCACCTAAGAGGGGACCTAATTGCAATTTTCAAAATCAATAATGGGGACCACAATATTCAGAATAAGATGTTTACACTGAGAACTGTATTGATGGCATGAGGTCACAACAAGAGTTTAGAAAAGAAGCGGTTTAATCTTAGTCTGCACATAAGACGTTTTTTTACTGCGTTTTTTTTTTACTGTCAGAGTTGTAAAAATTCCCTTCTATAGTCACTGGTATCCACTGATAGCATTGATAATCTCAATACTCTTTTAGATGAGTTTCATAGTTCATTAAATATACAAGAATATGGAAACTACTAGAACCAAGTATGTACAGACACACAAATATATACACAGGTTGAACTGGATGGACCTGTGTCTTTATTCATTGTTACGTACTATGTTACTATATTACTAAAGTACTGATAATAAACTTTCTTTCTTTCCTTGGCTAGATGTATTGAGTAAATCAATGATAAAGTAAACCTGGACTGACCACAAATATTTCTAAGGTAACAACAATGATGAAATCCAGGCATCAAAATGTGTCTTTAAGCACCAATGTTAGTCTTTAAATCTATTCTTTTGTCTCACTGGAAACCCTTTGGCTCCTAAGCCCAGACTATATAAGAGGCCTTAAAGTGGACCATTACAACCTTTTACCAAAAATCACATCAACATACAGCTCTGCGTGCTGATATGAAACCATCTCACATTCATTAGCTAAATAAACATATTTTTCTTTTACTTACAATTAATGTTTTTACACTTCCTGGTCCTCTTAGGCATTAGTGGTATAGCCCATGCTACGTGTATCTAAACCTCTGTTTTTAAACTTAGCGGTGAGACATGCTTTTTTGCATGCTGGCTGGTGAGTGTGCTGGGAAACTTTTTGCTCTTGCCCATGCCTAAGAGACGCATACTGGGAAGGTTACATCACAGTGCATCACTGGACAATCTCATCTGTTGCCAGTTATTAAACCTCAACTTCAGTAATCATCTGGCATTACAAATGAACCACAATGGTAGGACTTGAGGAAAATGGCCAAAATAAAAAAATGTATATTTAACATATTTCTCCAATACATACACATTCCCCAAAGTTTTGCCTCTTAAAACGCTGCAAGCATAGAAAGATATCTGTTGATCCACCAGAAATCCAGTGAGCTTGTTATTTTTTATGCATTCTGCTGCACTGAAATCTTCACTTCTGTGTACTTCAGAACATCTTTCCACTATGTCAAGAAGGTGGGGGAGGTGTTTTGCAGTCCAAATCAACAGCAAGAGGGGGCTTCTTCTCAGCTTGGGCAGAAGGTGGGAGTGCTATATACAGGCTGGGCACAAGATCTTGGGTGCTCTCCAGGAACACAGGGATCAATCTGAAGACTATCACATGTTCATGTAGGCCCTGCACAGTGCCAGCTCCTCAGCACTGATGTTACTTAGGTAGTATACATATGTGTTTCTATAAATGTGGCCCTTCTAAGCCTGATTTAATGATCAAAAAGCCACACACAAAATATTAGCCTGTTGCCTTGACTTATTTTTTTACAGCTATACCATGACCTGGATGAATGAGAACCTTCACAGACATTATATTAAAGAAGTCTTTTAAAACTACAAACTATGCAGTACTGAAGCACATATTCTTATCAACACAATGGACAATTAGATTATTTTGGTTTGTTTCAGGAAAATGCATGTTGTATTTTGATAAACAAACTTATTATGCAAAAAATTATTAAAAGCTGTGGTATTCCCTGATACCCCTTACATATTTGATGGATGCTGAAGAGTTGAGGCACCCAACAGATTCCTATATTCTTTAAGGAATTGCCTGGAAAGCTTTCTGGGCTTGTGTTGCAGGACTTTGCATGTTCTGTGGAGATTCTGAGGAGTTTGACCACCTATCCCCCCACCCCTAACCCCTGCCATTGAATTTTGATTTACTTTGCATGATAAAAATGCAGTAGGGTGTGGTAGGAATATACATAGGTTTTGGGAATAACCAAATCTCCAAGATGGGTGAGAGCAGAATCAGGATCTACTGCAAGAAAATCAGTCCACAGGTAATGCTGAAATGGTTATATTATCACTGAGGTTGGATAACAGTAATATACAGTATATATCTCAAATTTGTTAAAGAATAAACATTAAATAAAGAAATTGCAATTTAATACTACCTTACAATAAACGTCCTTCAGAGCATCTACAAAACCTGTAGCAAGATACTGAAATAAAATACAACAGTTCAAAAAACAATTTACATACACATAACAAATATTAATTTTAAATAAACAGATATAATAACAGATGTGACAATATTTACATAGTTACATAGTAATATGTGTGTTATACCTAAAAAATATTATTTACACTGACCATAAAATAAGCGAACCATTGATTTCATTCAAATGCATTCAATGCTCTGGTGCACATACAGTTAAATTAAAGTGTTTTTAAAAAGTTATAAGAAAAAGAAAAAATCAAGCACTAGGATGCAGTGCACCATGCACCGCAGTGCAGGCATGTCTGCTGGTGTGAGCAGGCCCTTAGTGTGTTGGTGGCATGCATTACACATGGACACGCTGAATTGAACATGAGCTTATAACCTAACAGTATTCAGGGTTTCAGTTTGAGAGTTACTGAGCTGGCCAGCTGAAAGCCGTTTTTTTCCGCCATAACCCTTATGTCAGTGGCAGGAAAAGTTAGCTACACTCCAAATAAAAATATAACTATTTCACTTTCCAAAGGAAGTAAATTTAATTCTGTTTATGCAATTTTGGGATGTAAGCAACCTTAGCTGATCCTACTTATCTTAAGGATAGCTAAGCCATATGACATGGTCACTCGCCTTCTCCTATTCTTCATCTGCCAGTGTCATCATTCTGCTCTGTCCATCTGTGAACTTGTTCAAACTATTGACTGACAGCACCTTGCAAAATCAAAAACAAACCCTGATTGTGTTGCCCTCCTTCTCTTCCACGGTAAGTGCTACAGGACAGATTCAGGTATTTAGACTAGCTGGATGTGAAAACCATTTTATGGATTTTGCTAAGCGAATAACTGGATTAAATAGATTGTGTTATATGTGCCTGGAGTTCAGCTTGATTGAGATAACAAGACGATTTATTATAATATTCATCACCCTGTGTGATAAATCTGTAAAAGTATCTTCAGTTACAATCTCTTGCTGTATTTAGTGTTAAACAATTATTCAAATGGAATATAAAGGTTCATATTCTGGTCCAATAGCAGCCAATAAGATTCAAACCTTCAAAATCATGCATTCCCTATTCTAAGCTACGTGACATTGGGGGTCTATTCACGAAGCAGCCGAAGGATTTAGCCGTAGCTTCAGCCGATCCTTCACTATAGCCCGTACAGCTCCTGAACTTGGCTGAGCGGCTCAGTCGATCCGAACGCATATGCCTCGGCTAGGCTGAGCCGCGCTGAAAGCCGAAGCTGGCCAACAGCCTGTTTCTGACAGCTGGGCGGCTGGCTCCGGCCACTTGCTGAGAGATCAGCGTCCCAGGCTACCAGCTAACCAGGGACACTGATCTCCAGACAGCAAACTCTCCCGGGCGCTCCGGGAGTCTCCCGCTCCCAGCCGCCAGGGAGAGAAACAGTGCTTTTTCTTTTTTTTTCTTTATTCTGACACGGAGCTGTGTCAGAATAGAAAAAAAAATAATTTTTGGCCATAGGTATGCATTGCTAGATTCCTATTGGCTATTTCAATTTGCAATAGCCAATAGCAAACTAGCTATTGTACCCGCCCTCTGCTGCAGTTCTGCATCAGGTCCCCACTACTGATTGACAGCAGCAGAGGGCGGGTACAATAGCTAGTTTGCTATTGGCTATTGCATATTGAAATAGCCAATAGGAATCTAGCAATGCATTCCTATGGCCAATTTTTTTTTTTTTTCTATCCTGACACGGCTCAGTGTCAGAATAAAGAAAAAAATAGAAAAATCAGTGTTTCTCTCCTTAGCGGCCGGAAGCGGGAGACTCCCGGAGTTCCCAGGAGAGTTTTTTTTTCTTCCTTTTTTTTGACGGCAGCAGAACTGCCGGCCAATAGAAAACAGTTGGGCGGAGCTAGCTGTCACTGCTAGCTCCGCACAATCGTTTTCAATTAATTTTTTTCTACTTTTTAAACTATTTTTCTGTTCTGCTCGATACCACAGAGGGACCGAGCAGAACAGCCGAGCCGAATGCCGCTCAGCATGTTCGGCCGACCCGAAGCCACCTGATGTACGGCTGATTTCAGCCGATATACGGCTGAAATCAGCCATACCAGCCTGAAGTGAATAGCCGAACAGCGTTCGGCTCACTTCGCTTTAGGGCGGTCATTCACTCGGCTGCCTACGGCAGCTTAGTGAATAGACCCCATAGTCTATCTTTTTCTGCTATTTCTAATTTACAGACGATATTATATATACATACCGCAAGGATCTTCTCCAGGCAGTCTGATGTCAAAAGGTCTCCTACCTATTGAAGGATATTATTTCTGATTAGTATATAAGTATGGGTAATTAAAGTAATACATAGAGTGGTTGTGTAAATCTTCATATAATACAGTAAATAGAGGCATGCATTGGTAAACTGCTAATTTTTGTTATAGTCACACATAATTTGATACAACAACGTGGCAATGTGTATAAAAAGGAGTAGTACACGTTACTTGCCTAATAAAAAATTATTTTCTAAGCATTGTATAAGAAAATATTATGGTATTTAACAAAACAAAATGCTTTAGGTACAATATACAACTTTGACCTTACCAAAAAACAAAGAGCCTTTTCAATTGTGGCATCAAGTCCCAAAGCATCCTAAAAAAACAAAAGCCAAGGAAACATAATTTGTATACTTTTCACAAAACTGAATAGGTTACAACACTGGAGACAATATTCCATTGGCTTCAAACCCAAATCTCCCATCTGTCACTCTTTCCAAGTGTACGTCAGCCAAGAGGGTCATGTAGACCCCCTTACTCATCAATCTCAGCTTTATCTCTTTACTTTCTTGGGACAAGTTCCCTTTATAGTGGAAGACAAGGATACTTGACGTTTCAATAATCAATGGAATAGAGACTGTTCACTTTACAAATGGAATGTTCACTAAGCTCAGTAAACTAGGTAAAGCTTTTTTCACTTTTAATACCCAATCATATGCAGGGAAATAAAAACACAAGATCTTTGGTTGCATGTGATTGGACGATTGAAGTGAAAACAGCTTCACCCTATTCACTGAGTTAAGTGAAGAGTTTCTATTCCTTTAGTAAATCAACTCAAAAATTAGCTTTTACTATAGCAGAAAATACTCTGAAATTAATATCACAGGTTCTCTTCCTCTCATTCTTAATGCCATTGCACTCTAGCCATCCCATCCTATGAGCAGATTAAATGTTTCATGCATTCCTCTCTCACTAGTCCAATGAGGTAGCCGTCTCTGGCAAGTGACATTGTGTAGTGTTTCCATGGTTGAGGGTGAAGGGTCATACATTAAAGGGCATATTTATATAGCAGTGAATATGCTAAACAGAATTCACTGCAGGTGAATATTCCTACTGAATGCATTTCATTAGCCAGTAAAATTTCACCACCAGTGAATGTTTGGTGAATGTCACCTTTTCTACTTTATCAAAAATGCCCATTTATAAAAATGTGTTCAGCTGATGTAATTTTTTAATATGTATTACATACTTTTTGGGGAATTGTGCTGAATTTTACTATAGCAACTTATTTATTTTTTTGTAGATACATCTCTGAATAATAAATCGCTCTCATTGTATAGACCAATTGGCTTATACAAACAGTAATGATGACAGGCAAAGGGCAGCCACACAGCTCATTTCAGATGATAGCCACTGGATCAGTTAAAGATGAATTCCTCATGGTGGGTTCTCATCTGCCTCCCCCTTGGCCTGATCCAGTTATGTGGAAAGCAATTCCCTATTTACTTATTTCATCTGCACACGACTGGATAATTGAAGTGAATATTCACACAATTTATTATGTGAACATTCTTAACTCCTTTAGTAAATCAGTCTTAGCATCTCTCTGTCCAGTTAATATTAACAAACAAAACTAAATCTATTGAACAAGCAAACTTACCGTTAATAGTATAACACTTTCACCAACTCCATCTACAGCTTCTGCAATCTCCCTCAAAACATCTTCCTATGAACAAAATGCAACAGGATTGTGTGATTGTCACCTAACACCTCTAATGTGTAACAGATTACAAATGAATAACATAGAAGGAATAATATAGAACAAACAAACTGAACCTTCAGAAGTAAATGAATTTGAGAAAAATACACTTTTTTTTGTATAGATGTGTGTGTGTGTATGTGTGTGTGTGTGTGTGTGTGTGTGTATGTGCGCGCGCTCAGTGCTCATTGTTTTTCTTTTTAACCATTATAATACATTACTTTTTAAGATTGCAGAGTGGATATACAGGTGAAACTCGAATAATTAGAATATTGTGCAAAAGTTCATATACTGTATTCACAGAAACAGATCTCTAAACAGCTAAATATTTTTATTCAGTGTTAAGAGATTTCCAAAGCTTTGTTAACCACTGTTTTTATATTTTCCATAGGAGCTTAACCATAAAGCTAATCAAAAGTTATCTAATTTCTATTCTCCATCACAATCTTTAAGGGAAAAAGGTGGCCATTATTTTCACTTATAAATGTCAAAGTAAAGCAAAGAGACCAAATGCCAGGCAATCAGTAATCACATTGGTTTGTTCTGAATGCTGTAAATCAATGAAAGGTAACATGTGATTGGTTGGCATGGACTACTGCACTGTGCACCTCTTCATTGCTCACTGATCTGGGTTACTGGGGTTTCTCATGGAGCAAAGAATACTGACTTTCAATAACAAAAAAATCAAGATTTTGCTTTGTGACTGGATGAATAATGTGAAGACCTCCTCATGTGAACTTTATTGAATCAGCTCCTTTAAACTGGTTTGGTTTGCTGCCACTTGTCATATCTGAATGTGACTCGTGAGCTGAAAAACAATGTACGGTATACATTATATCAAAATGAGATTTAAAAAAATATAGGAGAGAGACTTACGGTAGTTTTATCATTTCCCAAAATGTTACCAACATGGCAGCCTGCACACTCCTGCAAAGAGATTAGAAAGTACATTATTACAGATATTATTATTATTATTATTATTAGTAGTAGTATTATTATTTAAAGGTTGCTGCAACTGAGATTCTTACAGCTCTGCAAGGCAGCAGAACCAAATTCATGACCAGCCTTTTAAGTTTAGGATATTTGTGACCTGCCCTTTTGCAGTTAAAGAGGAACTCCAGGAATTTGAGAAATTGACCCTTGCCGTGGGGCGACATCCACACTGCAAAAGTTAACTGCTTGTTTTGTCTAGTGAAGTAAAATAACCAAGATATACTCACCCGATCATTGGTCACACCTGGCTGCTAGATCGGACCGTGCAGCCTCTTTTCTTCTGAGCTCCGGTGGTCTAAGGTCCCATGAGTCAACACGTATAATACAGTGTATTAGTCATGAAGACGTCAAGGGACATAGTACAGCTGGAGCAGAGGGAGAGAGAGGCTGTATGGACCGGTCTAGCAGGCAAGTGGGACCAATGATTGGGTTAGTATATCTTTGTTATTTTAGCTTTTATACAAAATGAGTAGATAAACCTTGCAGCGCGGGGGTACCTCACTGCAAGGGTTAACTTCTCAAATTCCTGGAGATCTGCTTTAAGGAATACAGACAGATCATCATCATGGCTCCAGCCTGAGACTCGACAGTGAAGGAGCAGCAGAAGGCTGATGAGATCATTTATCTCCTTCTGTCAGCACTCATATTTATACAGCACATCTGACTGGCACCTACTTCTGTCCCTCTCACTCCCAGATTAATTCTTCTGATCTGTTTTATTACATAGACTTGAGTAAATAATTGTTTTTGCAAACAAACATTGTTCACATTGCTCATAAAAGAGGAAAAAGATCTATTCTCGAATCAGCTAATCTATACAACATGTTTTAAAATGATCATTCCATACCCATGCTTGAACAAATGCTTTTGTTGCATCTTTATAAGCTTCACGATTGGTTTCACCCTGCTAAAAAAGTAACACAGAGTAAAACTTACTAAATGAAAAGTGTATTTAAACATTGTAATTAATCATACAATACACAGCAAATGATTTCTATCAAATTCAATTTCTTAGATGCCAAAGTATTTGATTTTAAAACTTTGTCATTGTAACATTAGATTTTATCATACAAACCGCTTAATAAAAAGAAAATCTCTCAAAGCCGTCTCAGCAAACCAATAACACTTTGGTGAATGGCACTAGACAGATGGCATTTTACTTCTGTGCACCTGACTGCCAGTATGTTTAACAGTAAGGCCACTAGCCGATAGCGTCATGGCAAAAAGGAGTTTAAAGAGAGAGAGTGGACCAGACACCAAAATATTTCATGATGATGAAACATCCAATCAGATCTGTTGGCAGTGATCAAGAAGACAAGCAGCGCTTACCAAGTTGAAATTAAAACATTAAAGACATCATTAAATTTTTTTAAAAGTCTGCAACCTTCCACCTATTCCGAACATCGAGGCTTTTTTTATCACTTTATTTTGGTTTTCCGTTCTTAAAGTTTTAAATGTTAATGTTAATTGTTGTCAACCACTGGTGTTTCAAGTCTAGGGGTCTAGGAAAACGTTTGCTAGATAACATACGACTATAGTTATCAATTTACTTGAGAGAGCATTTCTACCTATTTAGAATCATAAGCAGTTGTTTAAAAACATATATGAGGTTTGTGGTAATAAATACAAGCAACTCAAAGGGTACTTAAAGTGTAGTATTGGGTAGAGTAGAGAAGGATTTGAATTCCTGTCATGTTTTTTTTCTGTATTTGTCTTCTTTAGAAAGTTTTGCCCTCACTGTTTGTCCTGATGACTATTGTCACAGGACAAAAAGTGATGGCAAATGCAAAGTTTTACAGTTGTCACTGGAAACCCAGTTCAGGGGAATCTTTCAGTGGGGACACTTATTCCAATGACAAATGTCTGAAAGACACATCCGCTCACTTTATAGAGATTTCCTCTTACTTCCTGTTTTATCTGCAAAACAGGAAGTGAAGGGAAATGTCCCCAACAGAACATAAACAGCAATAAGAGAAATCCAGAACGTATTGGGTCAGTTACATAAACGAGAGGATTTATATGAGAGATTTTGATACATTTTATCCTTATTTACATACTGTATATCTTTATTAAAGTATTTTAGTTTATTCTTTTGTAGTTATGAGGATACTACCAACTAAGCTGAGTATGGTGGAAATGATTTTTTCTTAGATGTAGTAATATCCAAGTTACCAAGGGGAACATCTTTTTTTACACTCACATTCTGGCTTCATTTGTTATCATCAGCAATCTCCACTGTTTTACAGAAACTGCATCATGAGGACAACAATCTAATATTTATATACCTTACAATATTTAATTGCATTTTAACTACTACTGTTTACCATGACGTGCAGAAATAAGAACCTCCACAGACATTATTTTGTATAGACATTTTTTATAAATAGTGATTCCAACATAGGTTTATTTTTTTTTTAAAACCTTGTTACAGTTATAATAAAATTTACCTTCTCTGCTTTATAGTATTCACAGAGGAATTTGCCAAAAGCCTTTACAGCTGCTGAAGATTCCTGAAAATCAATGACATATGTTAGAGATAAATATATCCAACACTATTAATAAATAAATGTATAATGGCAATACAGGGTAATGACAGTTTTTTCCTTTTGCAAGAAGAGCCTATG